TATATATATATATATATATATATATAGTGTAGATAAGGAAGTTGATTATTCCAAAATAAAGTGCTCGATACAAAGTATATAGAGAGCGAGTGAAGAGAATAATACGGTGATAGAGGAATTAATACACAACTACATAAATATTAAAACTCGACAGCACTGTGACAGCAAGTACCTCACTCATCAGGAGCTTTATGTTTAATATATATATGTGTGTGTGTGTGTGTGTTCTAGATTGACTGATATAGAAGAGCAACTGCAGCATTTTATAGAAAGTCACGTGATGTTGACGCAGGGGTCACATGGGACCAAGTCTATAATTGAAATATTGGGGATGTACATACAGTGCGTGGAGGTAAGTTTAGGGTAAGACATTAATTCATTCATATGGCAAATTAAAATAAGGATATATTAATGGTCTACATAATACCTAATGCAGACAGAAATTAATTGATGCATAAATGAATTAAATATATCTAATGACATTTAATTTTCGATTATGAAACACTGTATATTTATTAATCCCACATTTTTGTTGCAGAATTCCTACCAACGAGATAGTCAAATTAACTTGAACAACGTAAAATCAGACCTGGAAAAAGCTATGGTTTTACTCGACGAGGATGCCACCTCTGCAGAACAGAGACCATCAGTCAAATACCTAAACAACGTTGCTCTCATTAGACATGCCATGGTATTTCTATCTGAGGTGATTCATTCACACATACATACACAGGAATTGCATAGCAGTTTATCGCAAGTTATTGCCACAGCTCAAAATTTGATAGAAAAGATGGATTCAATGGACGCATCAGTGAGCAGTGCGTTTCTACTGAAAAATATATGTCGGCGATACGGCATGTACTACAAAAACCGTATTCGGGAATCCGATCAGTTAAAAGGAATAATTCCACAACATCTTAGAACCACGAATGTGAGTATGTATTTTTGGTGCATAATTATCATTATTATACATATGTCACCGTAACGCCATAGGTTACAGCGTGCCGTAATTTTGCGGTATTTTACGGGGTATTTTCATCCTACCATATTAGGAAATGCGAATTCCAAATATGGAATTA